AGATAAAGCATTAAAAACTGAGCATTACCTGTACAAATGAAAGCACCATTAGGCTACATGCACTTATTGGTGCATGGGTCAGTAGGTAGCAGTGTGTGGCACACCTCAGCCACATCTAGATGTTTTCACGAAGGGTAAAGAAAAGCGTTGTTCATCACGTTAGTAGAAAGTAGGAAATTTGACCCAGATGGCAGTTAACTTTTGTTTACATGGGACCTTTGATTTACTGCAAATAGATATGTTTATCTTTAAAGTGAGACCAGGTAACTTCTCGAAGAACAAAGAGCACATTCTTCCTCTCACTAATGAAACGCTGAAACCACGAACACATCATTAATCTTTTCAGGACTTTCACTGCCTTAATTGGTCTGGTGGAACCAGCTCATGCTAGCTAATGTTAGCGAACTTTAGAACTGTACAACAGTGGCACTAACATAACAAAGTGTGCTTTTTTTGCTTGATGATTCCTGTCATGTTTCCTTTGGTCCTACACGCCACCTCTGCCGATTTCTTAGATACCACAAAAATTGAATAATTTAATCCAACTTAATCAACTTTGCACAAAAGTAATTTGCACTGAAACATCTGCATTGACCACTGCACCTCTAGACAGAAACCACCCCTACTGCTCATTCCGTTGCTCCTTGGACTCTAGCATGAACTCGTGTATAAATTGTCAGTGCTCAAACTGTCTGTCTGTGTCGCTCTTGTACTGTGTATTTATATTATTCATATGGTTATTTTATTACATAGTTTCTTAAAATATGCTAGCATATATGCACTTTTACGATATGATAATAAAGGCTTTTATTATGCTTTCACTCTGCCTCCAGCAAAGGCCTGGGCTGAACCAGGGTCTGTGTGCAGCCCGAGTCCACCATATCCTGGTGTATACCCCCTTAGCACCTTAGTGGCACGCTGTACGTCCCTCTGAGACTGATGGAGGGTGTTGAAGGGCCAGCACCACAGAACACCTGTCCCACTTCCATCCGTGGGCACTTTCACCTCCAGCACTCCTGCCCTGACACTGGTGTGGCTCCCAGTGAGTAAGGAGCAGTGTCCATGGGCGCTGGGAAAACAACACACTACTCACAGCCAAATTACTCAATGCTGGTGGGTGCTGCTCTGCAGCAGCAGGCCATGGTGGTCATGGGGCCCAGAGCTGCATTTGAGTAGTAGGGACCAGTCGACTTACCACTGCCAGTTACAGCTGCCTCCCAGACTCTTTTGGCCAATAGGTGATCCTCTGACCGCATCACAGTGACGTCCAGGCCGGCCGGCCGGCAGCAGCAGGCCCACTCTGTGATGTCTCCTGGAGGTCCCTCCACAAACTGCTCGAGAGCAATCATATCCAGCAGCCGAGGCTCTCCCTTTGGCGTCACCTAGCCGCCACATTGTGCTGGCGTCTGGCGTAGGCGAAGGGCCAATCCCCCGGCACAATCTTATCTCCCCAGAAATTATGGCACGGGTCTTCACGGGGTGAGCCCCAGCCGATCCACCTGGGCCTCCCCACACAGCAAAGGGAGTTGCCACAGAGACGACTCCTCAGCAGGCCACTGCTACACCACACCCTAGGGGTCATCTCCTTCCATCCAGTGGAGCGTCCTGCAGCTGATCGAGTTGTTGTTGCTGCACCACCGCCTGCTCCCAATACAGGGTGGCCAACTGTGCCACCATTTTCACCAGTTCCACTATTGTCTGTGTTGGTCATGGGTCCACTCTCCCACTGCTGTGTTTCAGCACCACTGGAACAAAAGGACCCAAAGCACACAGCATTGCAGGTCCAGTGATCTTTATTTCCAGTGTTTTCGTGCTTTTCTAGGAGCAGCTTTCCAGCTGCCTTCTTCACTCCACACCACACACCACTCCTGTCAGATCCTGGCAACCTACTGAAACAGGGAAGCCATGATCAGGTGATGAAGAGCAGCTGTGTGGGTCAGCCTCCCCTGACACCACACCCTGAATCCACTGCTCCACCCGTCCCCTGCAGCTGAGCCACAAACCACACCCTGTCACAGCTTGCAAATCAATATTAGACTGGACATAAGAGCAGTGACAGAAGCAAGGAAGAGAGAAAGCATCATGAGCAGTTTTTCTGCTATGTCAACAGTGTCTGGCTGATGGCTCATGTCGATTCATCCTTAATTTTTTAACTTGGCAACAAAGGTTTCCTGAGATTCTTTTCAGTGGTGAAGTCTTATAGGCACATATCCAGCTTAACTTTTTCTTCTTGCACTCCATACTTGAGCAGCTTTATATGATCCACAATGCAAAATAATCCTTATTTATTTCACCTTACTTCTGACTGGTTGTCTCTTTGTACACTCTCTAAGTGTGCTTGTTCATCACACTGACTGCAGCTCTCATGTGTCAGCAGTTCAGTTCAATTTTCAACTCAGCTTTATTTATATAGCACCAAATCACAACAGTAATCACCTCAAGGTACTTTATGTTGTAAGGTAAAGCCCCTGCAATAATAGTATAGTTCACTAGTGTAATGCACGTCCAGCAGACTTGTGATTTGGTATAATGGGACCGTCTGCCATGGAAGTGGTTCCTTGGCTAAAGAATGAGCAGAAACTGTGCGTGGAATGAACAAAATCTTCTCCCGCTGCCATTTTCTGACCTTAGACAAACACTTGACAAGGTTTCACTTCAGCAGCCAAACGGGCTGATCAGGCTTAATGGTTATTTATTGCACTGTGTCCCAATGAGATGTATTTATGTGAACTCTGCGCATCATGTTACTTGTGAAGATGATTATTCAGCTGGCCTGGTTTGGTCAAAGGACAAGATCGAGCATTTCATAGTCTCTCCTCGGTCTCTTGACGGTATTAGAGCAGTCCATCAACTGCATTTCTTCAACAGGACCGGTGCTTTAGTTACCCCTTATTTCTTCATTCATTCATTTTTCCACAGTTTTACCATCATCGGTTCAGACCTTCAGAAGCCGCTGTGTGCTTTGGGTCAGATCTGGAATGTGTCGGTAACAGTGCACCTTACCCTGTGTGCTGCTTCAGACAGGAAGCAGGAGTGGATGACTTTGGTTTTAGGTTCTGTGATACAGTGATGTCACTCTACAATAACAGCAAAGCCACACTGTGATTTATGGACTGCAGACAGTCAAATGCATCTCATGGCGATTGAACATCAACACTAAGGTTCCACTTCCCTTCAGCTCCTTGGCAGCAAGCTGTTCCCACAATTCTGGTTGCTGACTATCTTCTTGACTTTGTAAAAAACCCTTGAAAACGACCAAAGACTGGGCCGCCTCGAGCGCTGGTTGAATGCTGCTGCAGTAATCTGTTGAAAACAATTTCAGGCAGTATCAATCAGCCCCAATATTAAAATCAGTAACAGGTGAAGAAAATGACTCTAATTTCATTACAAGCACTGCTCTGCTGGGAAACCTTGGCTCTTGGCATACATGCGGATGTTGCTTTGACACAAACCGCCTCCCTAAAAATTGTTGCGAAACCAAGAACATGCTTCTCCCCATAGTAACGATTCTCCCCAAAGGGAGAACGATGACCTGTGCAAAACCATCCATGTTAGTCTCAAAAACCATGACAAGACCCCAGTATGTTGGTTCAGTCCTGAAACTCCCCAAATCCAAATCTGACTGAGCATCTGCAGGATCTGCTGAACGAGTCTGGTCCGTTGAGACCTTTCCCCCAAGATGCAGAATCCGGTGCACCATAGGACACCTTAACCCTGGACAGTATTAGGCAGGTGTCTAACAGTCCTGTGCCCGACCTCTGTAATTATAGGTTGGTTTTCCTCACCTGTGTCCTTTGTAGACTTGGAGATGTCTTCAAACATCACTGAGTGAGAGTAGTGTATGCTTATTTATTTTTAATGTGACTGACCTACACAGTTCATTACCAGTTGACAAATACAAATATCTCAAATAAAGTCTAAACTTTCATTTAGTTGAAAATACAGCTGCTCGTATTATTTCCAGAACTGGATCCACTGAACATATAACACCTGTTCTTAAACAGCTTCCAGTTCACCTCCGTGTCAATTTCAAGATCCTGCTTCTCACTTTCAAAGCGCTTCATAACCTCGCTCCTCCATATTTACCTGATCTTCTCCATGCATACTCACCCCATCGTACACTCCGCTCTTCTTCAGCTTCCCTCTTGTCTGTTCCACCTGCTCGCCTGACTACCACGGGACTCAGAGCCTTTAGTAGCTCCGCCCCGAGACTTTGGATGCACTTCCACCAGATCTCTGGACCACAAACTCTCTCACCACTTTTAAATCACGTCTCAAAACCCATCTATTCAGAATTGCATACAGCTGATCTGTCTGCATTAGTCCATTTTTACCTGCCTCAGCTTTTATACTTTTATGCTTGTGTGGTTTTGTTTTGTTTGTTTGTTTGTTTTTTACTTTATGTCTAAATTTTATTTTGCCATGTTTATTAGATTTTATTGCTGCTATTGTTCTTGTTTTATCGTAAGGTGACCTTGAGGGTATTAAAGGCGCCTATAAATAAAATGTATTATTATTATTATTATTGTAAAATAAATATTCATATACAGTGTATTTTATCTGATTTTCTTTCCAGCCCTAACATTTTGGAGTAAAGCTTTTAGCATTTTAAAGGCTAGCATGCTACCACCACTTAGTGCTACAAGCCCTCATAAAACTTCCTAAATCAGCTAACATTTCTGATTTTCTGATCTGACCATCAGTTTAGGAATCATCATTCATCTGTTTGTCATTCTAAATATGCCAGTAAGAAGCTCCATAAGTTCAACAATACTTGGTTCATTTAAATTTTGCTGATTTTTGTTGTTTTGAGGTGGAAAATGAAAAAAAAACGATATTAAAAACCGACTAACTGGATTGCAGTCTTGTGGCTCCATGTTTTTAGTGATGCATCCGTCACATGCAGGCTACTGACATATGTCAAGTATATACTTTTTGTGTCCATGTCTTGAAATCATCCACAACCACACTTTAATCCTTTATCGTCTTTGTCCCAACAGGAAGGCTGGCCTCATCCTCTCGCAGCTTGATGAGCTCTCCCCATGGTGTAAGGGTCTCCTTCAAGAGCCAAAGATCGGTCTTCGCAGGATGTCCCTCAAGTTCCTGTCCTGTCGTTACACAGACACCAAAGTCTTTGGGCTTAACTGGTCAGACATGGGCCAGGACGTACAAAAGGCATGTGATGAGCAGACGCTCACTGTCATGTATAACGACTACGGCGAGCCCAGGGAGCTCTGAAGGTTTCAGATTTGATTTAGACGACAACAGTTTACTATTGCAAATTGCAGTATTTGTATTTGTTGTCTCAAATGCTCCACATTATTTGAAAAAGCCATTAACTTTTTTAACTTAAATGGCTCCTGAACTAAACATATTTCATGTATTACGGTATCCAGTGGTCTCTAAAGTCAGCTCTAAAAATCAGCTAAGAAAAAGGTCCTAAATGAATCCACGTCTCTTTGCTGTCCTTAGACCTGAAAGACTTTAAGTTAGTGAACATAATGCAGTCGTTGATGCTTTCACCAGAAGCATCTTTCTTCTTGAAGTTGATCAGTTCTCACTGGTCATTCTTCACTGCATATAAGACTATGTTGTAATAAGTATTTTCTTTACTATACATTGTGATCTTATGGCCTGAAGCATCATTTTAGGTGAAGCGAATAATTTAGCATCAACACAAGCTTTATATTCAAATCAAGGCCGGTGTGTTTAACTTAGTGGGCATCAAAATCCACACAACTCCAGCTCTCAAATCCAACTAACCCCACAGTTATCCAGATTGAATCATTTGAGTGTAGGATGTCAGGCGATGGTGTAAATGATACTTACTTGTGTTTTGTTTGATCATGGCTCATAGATATGGAATTATGAAAGACGATTTGTTTTTTGATCATTTCAAATCTGTGAAACAGAAGGAAAGTGATTTTTTTCTCTTTAAAGCATTAATTTGATCCACAGTTTCATTCTGATTGGACATTTTCAGATTTAAACAGCTGCTTTGTGCCTACTTAAATCCAAAAGTACCCAAATCTTTAAATGTTTTGGGAAAACACAGGAAAGTTGTCCGCCAACCATCGGTGGCTACAGGAAGCCTAGATGCAATTACTTGATTCTTGGACCTGATTTGTGATCTGGAGTCAACTTCATATGAAGTTTACATATAAAGTTGGCTTAAAAGAGTCTGTCCAGTTCACTGTAGCCTCACCTTCACTGGCACATTCCAGCAACAGTTATAAATGAATATTTTTCTGCTTCAGTTTTTAGTGGTTTTCATCCAAATGTATTATGAATGAATGCAGCACCTGCAGCAGGTGAACAGTTGTGCTAGACATCAAGTATCTGATGACGTGAATAGTTCTGGTATTGGCTGCTTAGCTGCGTGTAGTTCCTTATTCATCGGGGGCATTCTGCTTTTAGCTGCTACTCCTCCATGTATGTATTTTGGATGAAGTCAGCGTCACAGTATGTAGTTACAGACCTTTTGTCTGTTTTCTCATCTTTCCAACATGCCGAAGAGTTCAAGACATGCAATATACTTCAGGATGTGTCATACATGATACTGGGAAAAGGCAGTACCTTATAAAGTTCTGTTTCTATAACAAAGAAAGATTGCATGTAGGCAAATAGAGATTTACTAGAAAAGCAAAACTTAGAAAGGTTAATTATGTAGATAATAGTCGGAATTATTTTAGTAGTATAGACATTCAAGAGAAAGCCCTGTACATAACATTCAAAGTTTTAGTGATATAACCTGCTCAATGTAGTGTTATTTGCATTTAAGCTGTAGTACAGAAGGTGTAACAAGCATCAAAAACACATGATTTAAAATCTGTACAAATCCAATAAAAACTGTCAAAACTATCCTTCTTCATTGTTTTCAAGTTTGAATGTGATTTAATCCAGTGAATACTTTCAAAATGATCATTCTGTACTTAAGCTGTAGTTTAACAGCAGTTTAATCATCTTAATTTTACGTGCACTAATCCGGTGTGTTTCTTGCCAGCTTATTCTTATTTTATTTGAATTGACTCATGTTATTATAATATGGTATTTTGGTTTGTATTGTATTAACTGCTGCTAGTAAGTTATAAATTAATAGTTTATTAAACTTTAGCAAATAGTTCTTTAAGTGTTAACGGGCAAAACGAATACTTAAATACTTATTCTGTGCTGATTTTGTGCTTCTGGTGACTTTCCATATTTGTAGCTAATCACCTAATTGTGAGGGTGAATGAATAGCGTCTAGTTACAAGTTACAAATGCCAACTCTCACATTAATGTTTTATTATTACTCACTACTTTAATGATAACCCAGACGGCTAATATTAGTCATTGATAAAAGTTAACCAGCTAACATTAACAGGTGGTCCAGATTGAACATTTATGATAATTCATTAATAATTTAATGTTTCAAAACAACAGTTTTATTGACGAAATCTTTAAAAAGATGTGTTCATCTTTAAGACACTGAACCATGGTTCTTGTACTACTGTTGACATGTCCAGGTACTAGTGAGGGGACGAGCTGTGTGGCTAACAGTAACACTGTATGAAGTTCTGTCCTAACTGCTCTGTTAGTATCAGTACTGCTGTGAATGACTTCATCTGATAGTCATTTTTAGTATCAGCCAACATCATATTTTTTTTAGAATTTTGTTATCAAAAGGTACCATTAAGTGTCAGTTCTAGTGAAATATCTATAACTTTGTCTGTTAACAGGAAAAAGCTACTAGCTACAGTTTTATCCTCTATTAATTTGCCATTTATTAATTCCAGTTATTTTTAGGTGTTACTGTTACTTTAACTGTAGTGGCCAAGTCAAAGGTTGATGTCAAAGAAAAAGATATAAACGAGCAGGTGATTTTTAACAGTTCTCGTATGTGAATACTAAAATGAGCGCTTGTAGATTTTTGTATAGGCAGCAAATTATTTCAGAAATGCTTCACGTTAGAGCACAGTACGGTGTTTGACTTCTGTATATAAATGTACACCAATTGGTATTTTACATTTACACGTGCTTTACTAGATCCAATGATGTACTGTAATATCTGCTGTGTATCTCAGTCTCTGCACATTAACACACTGATGCCTGTTGCAAAACGACGAGCATACGGTTCTTAATCTTCTGTGATCTGTAGATGATACCTGGAATTCAGCTGAACTTCTGCGCTGAGCTAAACTGAAAACGAAATAACCAACAAAATAAAAAAAGATATGGGGACCCATTTGAGCATTTCAGAAACATGAAACAACCATCTACTATCTGCATGCTATATTGTGTGTGGCATCATAAAGTCGACTTTTTCACTTTGATCTTTGCTACTTCTGAGAACAATAAAAGAATATACTACAAAAAGTGGCTGTGTAGATATTTTTCAGAGCTTACTAAAGAGATTTTGCATGTGCACACTGATTGAAATTCATATAATTACTTGCAAGTTGTTCTCAGCAAGTGCTCACAAACTGTTATATAAACTGTTGGAGCTACTTAACTATTCAGAGTTTTTGGAGCCAGACATTTGGACAAAAGGGTGAAAATTCAATTTATCAGCTAAAGCTAGCAAGCTAGGCTATCTAGCAGCATTACCGCACTGTACATGTGCATTGCAGAGAGAACTAGCTAATTATCAACAGACTAATAAAATCCTGGAATTCCACTCACCAAACAGAAAACATGCCTCTTACACAGGCAGAACCATACAACAAGAAATATAAATGCTACAATAGCATAAACACAATGAAGGTGTCCAGTTGAATACTTGGATTAGTGAAAGTGAAGCTGCCTGTGTTGTTTGTCAATCAATTAGGATGAGTTATAAAAAAAATCTCTTTATGCTGTTACGAAGTATGAAATTATCCATAGAGCCCAACACTGCTGTTGAACCAGGCTGTAAATATGCTTCCCAGTGGTGTAAAGTTGGGTGGGGAGCCAACCTTAAGTAGAAGGACTTAAGTAGTAGAACTGTAGATTTAAATTTTTCATGTATTATGTTATGTTTGTTAGCTTAGCTGAATAGCACTAAAGGTTTCTATTTGTGGTCAGAGCATCTCATCAATACAACATGTAATTGACAGAATACAAGTCCACAGTTGTAAGGGTCAATATAAAGTTGCTATTTATTTCATAGAATATAAAGTACAGTTTTGTAAAATATGACAAACAAGCATGATTATACTTACTATAGATCCAATATAGTACTGGGGTAGTTTATTATTTCTAGATAATGGACACCAAAAGCTGTCTGACGTAAACACATGCAAGCAGATGTCTGTGCTGAGTGGATGATGTGACCAGGTTTCCCAAAGAAGTCTCCCTCTTTTTGCTTTTCAGTATTCATCTTCATGTGCCGATATGTTTCAGTGAGCCCTTGAGCCAGTAATATTTGATGCTGCTGATGTTGTATTTATATAAGTAAACATTCTCTTTTGGGGTTCTTCTTTTTTTGGGAAGCCCTATGCACACATTGTAACCTACTGATACACGTTTGTAGTAGAAATATTACTGACCTGTGTGGCTAATAGGTGATCTAATACATGTGTTAGGTGATCCAAATATATTAGTCTATATATGTTAGTCTTTACATACATGTATCCACTTGAATTCCTAACGACTACAAGGATCCGAAGCCCGTTCAGGTACAATGACAGCACTTGGGCGGATTCCATGAGGAAACAGGAGACTTTGCCTCGGCATTTTTTAAATATAGTCACTGTAATTGTGTTTTTCCCCTCGGTAGCTCTTCCTGTGAGGACTGTGCCTGTACTGGACAGTTTCAGGCACATCCAGTTGTTTTTGTTGTTCACTTTCCCGAGACTAATCATGTCCAGAACAGTACACGAGTCCATTTACAAAAGTGATTTGATCCAATTATCATGGTTTGAATTTCAGAGGGGACGATAAACTGTTCAGCCAGGCTCTAATGTTGAAAACAGAATTATCTTCACAAATCCAATAGTGAAGATAACCTTTAACTTCTTAACAGGGAGAGAAAACATATTCATGTGTGGATGTTGTTTTGCTGGACTGGACACAGGAATTCGAGTTTCAAACCACCATGACTCATATTTAATGCAGCTTTAACAGTAAAATGTCCTTTTATTGTACAACGTCCGACTTCAATCACAATCGCTGCGTTATAAAATCTTAAAAATGGGATATTCTGTGTTTGTTGTGGTGGATATTCTGTGGTTTGACTCCATTTAACTAAAGTTCAACTTAAATCATCCCTCCATCTTATTGCGTCCCTCCTCCCTCCAAGTGCTTGGCTTTGCTCTTGTTCTCTTCTGCATCCGGATCCCGGCAAGTGCATTCATCCTGAGTGCAGTCAGCTCCAAATTGAATGACCTGTCAGTAAATAAACACAGCATTCAGTGCGTGGCTTCCCAAAACTGCTATATATCTTTCAGTCTGTGGCTGAAACACACGACATGTGACTTCTCAGTTTGTGTTGTGCGCATTCCAGTTCTTAAAAGATGACTAAATCAAGAAAGCAAACATCCGGTGAGTTTGGTTTTCTCATCAAAGCCCGGTCCTTGCTTAGCTTTAATTCAATCTAAACCTATTCCACTGTAAGTGAAACAAAAAGCATAGAAACGAATTCTGAAAAAGCAGTGGGACAGGAAGAACTGTTACATCAGAACTTTGAGTGAAAGCAGAGTTATTGAGAAGGCCTCTCGGTGGGGTTGTTACATTTCAACTGTAGCAAAGAGCACAACTGTGAATGGCAAAAACAGACAATAAAGTATAAATTAGCTTGAACTGACCTAGCAGCATTGTGTTTGTGCTGAAAGCTAAGCACCCCTTAGTACTTGCTGCATTTCTTCACAGTTTCGAAGAGCGCTCCAACAGCCCCCCTGAGGCCGATAAAGCGCATGTCAAATGGTTCAACGTGGCCTTTGAACGGCAAGAAAAACTTTGAGGGTCGGGGGGGATGGGAAAGGAGGGCAGAACGCACCGCCATGGAGGTGAACGGATGAACACATGTTAAGAATCAACAACGAGAGGCTGCCAGCTCTTGTCTAGGAAGCGAGCCATCACCACAGGTTGCAAAATAAACTCTGGTGCCCCGTGAAGCAGTCTGTTGCAAGAAATGTAAACATTCGCTCTCAGAGAGGAAGACGGAGCGAAAGAAGGCAGGGGAGAGGAAAGTGTAGAAGACAGAGGGAGAAAATGAGCAAAGGTAAGAAGGAGAGTTGTAGGTAGCAGTTTGTCAGCCTTCACTACTGACTGCACCTATTTCTGGACCCTGACGGCAGGGTGATACTTTCGCTGAGGGCTCTCAAAGCGCTGCACAAGAGCAAGCTTCACTTCAAATGCCAGCACTCGCATTTAAGCCGGGCTGGCACCACCATTAAATGTTTCCCTAACAGCTTCATCTTGACAGAAAGAAAGCCTAACAAGCTCTGGGTGGAGAGAACGAGCCTGTTTGGTTTTTTTTTACTTCATCCACACAAACAAAAGCCAAGTCTGTGTTTGAGAGATGCCTCCTGCTGTTTGCCGAAACCTATTCGCGAACAAAACCCGCGTGACGAAAACGTTTCGTGTAGCAGCCCCACAGCCCTTACTGGTTGGCCACTTGTTGGACAAAAACAGACACTCCTGTTAAATTAACGGAAGCGTGAGTGTTTCGACAGATGATGTGGCAGCTCACATCGTAACTTTTCCCTTTTGCCCAATCATTCAGTCTTACCTGATTCATCTCTCGAGTATTCCAGCTCCTTGAAAAGGAGTCAGCTGGCCCCACTAGGGCTGTGCGTTATGACCAAAATCTCATATCCCGATATTAAGACATCTATCGTCCCGATAACGATATAAATCACAAAAATGTAACATTTTCTGTAAATGCTGTGAATCTCGAGCAGCTCGACCTGAAGTGTTTCCGGCTGCGCGTCGTGTAGCTGGAGTCGAGTGTTTTAACCGAAGCATGAAACGACACATTTTTAGACATAAGTTGTAACGGCGCCGTTTTCTTTGTGAGTATTTATTACACGGCGTGCTGCGGGGAGAAGCCTGTTCTAACGTTTGAGTCTAAGCTTTATTTTTTAGCACCTGGCGGCTCTTTTTTACTTCTCATCCGTAAACATTCTGCATCTTTCACGTGATTCAGTTTATTTTGAAAAGTCTCAACAGGATCTTGAGCTTTATTGTGAAAGGTGGAACAAGCGGACACGCCGTGGTTTTACCGTCGTTGTTGCTAACGACAACGCATAAAAACAAAGGCTTGTCCGTCCTTAGTGTGGTTATATTAAATATAAGAGAAAGAGAGAACTTTAGGAACTTAATATAGCCACTACAGTGACCATCAGAACGATGAAACAATATTGCCGTAAACAGTTTATTTTGCGACACCACGAAATAAACGATAGCGTAAAATGAAACGACAGACGTTTTTATATCCGATAGATATCGTTATATCGAACAGCCCCAGGCCCCACGGGATAAAACCAAACAACATCACATATGACTATTGACTCAAAGTATATCAAGTATGTCAGATATGCACAGTGGACACAGTTGCAGAACAATCTAAACATTATCAACATTATCTGTTTATGTTGAATGATTAATAATACTGAAATGTCATGAACGTCCAGGCTTTTTGTGTGTGGCGGCAGTGAAAATAAGCAATGTGGGTCACGCTGTGTTAAAAACCTGTAATTGCCTACACCTGCATACATCGAGCCCCATAGAAACAGAGAGTTCTGGAAAAAGGCTGAGCCTTCATTACTCCCCCCTCTTGCTCCATCACCCTGCTGGAGCCGCGGCAGTCAGGATGCACACTCTCATGGCTGTTTAGTTCACTTCCTTGAAACGACCCCCGCTTGCTGAGTTGCTGTTTTACAGTGGCCGAGGAAACCGCAGACCGTCAGACACCTCGCTGCTCCCACACTTATACCCTCCACCTCTCCCTTCCCCTGTAAAAGAGCAGTTAGTGGCAGTCTGGCAGCTCATTTATTATGACGGCAGCTGCAGACTCGCTGAACTCCTCCATTTAAGAAGGAGCTGCCAGTGAGTCATGGCGTGCTGCGGACATAAAGGAGACAGCGGAGGTTCAGCCAACTGTAGGCCATATGAATTAACAGGCAGGACCCCCTCAAAGAGTGTCAGGAATATGTGGCTTTACAGTAGCCAAACAGAGTATATTTGACGGTGGTGGGAGAGCTGGGGAGTAAGTGACTTCCTAAATGTCAACAGGGGAGAGAAGTTCTCATGAAAGCACAGAAAAATAAGGGGAAAAAGATGTGTTTATGTGGCCTGGTTTCCACCACAGGCTGACCTGGGCTAACTCATTATTATTCATACCATTCCTCTTAGCCACTTAATATATACAGCAATCATTTAGCGCAATTAGTGTA